TTATAACAACTAGTATTTAGAGCTTTTTATTTAAATAGAACATAATTTGTTCATTACTTAACAATGAATATATTATATTATTTATCAGTGCTTGCTGATATTATTAGCAATTTGATGGGCAAAATTAAATTTTAATAAAACATGGTTTTACATGCTTTATAGTACTTGGAAACCGGTAATAGTTTTAAAATTATGGAAAACTAATTTTTATCGAAATAATTAACTGTTCGAAAACTCCATAGAAAAATCAAAGACGCTAATATAACGCATATTAGAAATGAAATTTAAGTAAATATGATTAAAATCAGTGTAATTGAAATAAAAATATTAACGAAATAATGTATGATGTGAAATATTAAGAACATTACAACAAATATAAAATTGTAAAATGTTTTCAGGATACGAAAGAAGAAATAATTTTAGTGAACAAAGATAAAGATAAATTGATAGATATTATATATGGGCCAAAAGTAATGAGAGTATAAATAAATTAGAAGAAATTGTATATGATCAACAAAAAACCAATAAAATAAATGAAAAACAAAAACGTTTGGTTTAAATATCATGTTATAAACCATGATCAAAGAAATAATCGAAAACTATCGTTTTTGAATTAAGTATTTCGGTTCCTTTTACTAGGTTTTATATTTTGTTATTATCCATGTCATGTTATATATTTTTTTTCAACCGTTCTTCATTGTACTCGATAACAGTAGGCATCTAAATTTTGTATGATATAAATGTTAAAATGTAATAATATCATTCTTTCAAAGTACGTTCTAAAAAAAATAAAATGAGATATTAATATACATACATATTACCAAAATAATTGAAAAATTACCTTTTGAAATTATGGATTACAGCCCATTTTCTGTAATATTATTAGAACCAAGTCGATTACGGTTGATTTAATATTCAACTGAACACAGTAGTGATAATCCGTATGCATGAAATTTACTAATGTATTGCATGTATAATTGCATTTTAAATCGTAAAAAAATTCTAAATTACACAAAAAATATCATCCGCAATTTTAGATTCTGTATGAAGCGAGAAATGCATTTCTTATATTTTAACTTTGAAATAATGTTTTGATCGAGTTTTATTAATTCGAATGCATGTATATTTAAAAAAAAAAAAGTGTATAAACCAATGAGTGTCCCTAACCAATTGGTCTAAAATCTAAAATTACATTAGTTGGATTTATCAGTGAGTAGAAATTTTAAAGTGTTATTTTTTATCGATGCGATTCTTAAGTCTAGTTAAATGTATAAGCTCACGCAACGCCATCATTGTTTCTTTTCATGTGACCAATTACATAAATTTTATAATGCAACGACAATTGTTCCACGCATCGGTTAAGCTATGGCAAACTTCGATTATTATCGGCATGACCGACCATTACATAAGTGTAGCTCGTTGGATGCAAATAACCATTTGAAATTTGAACTCATAAACACAGAGTATTTGCGTATGAAATAGGTGCAATGTAAAACAATGATACAAATTAAGTGTTCCCGTGATGTTATGTTAAAACGTACTTACGTACGTTCTTTTGAAAATTGTAATTGCTGCTGTAGCAGATTATTTTAGTCCCTTTGCTCTTGTTCCTCGATTCAAACACATATTGCACTGCAAGCACGCATAATACATGTCGTTGTGTTCGAGATAAAATACAAGTCGATAAGAAGTTAAAAAAAATGTATGATATATTAGTTGTGTTAAGTTGAAAGTAAAACTAACTATAAATATACATGCATTGTTGTAACGTATAATGTTATATATTGAAACATTACTTTAATTGTTATCATCATACAGTATTTCAATATTCACTCGAGCGCAACGTACATACTCGTTACGGACGATAAAAATAAAAAATAAACTTTCGACGATAAAAGTAAAGAAATAACGTCATAACATTTTGCCAAGTAAACAAAACTGTCGTTTTGATAATGCATATACCATATACAGTGGCGCCGAACCCTATGCTTAGATCAGGCTGACCACATTTTTAAAACGAGACCGGATCTATGGTTTGTAATTTACGATATTCTGACTTCACGAGGTATGCCGAACAGACTCTGTCAGATCGGTACGTGTCTGACTAGTGTAAATCATGTAAATGTGTAAATCATGTACTTGTAATTTGAGAGCACAAATTATTTTTCTATGCAAAATAAAAATATAGACTTGTGGTCGCTGAAGTGCTTGTGGCTGTTGTATTTTTATTTTGCCTGAGTAAAATTTTAGAAATTTGGCGCCACTACATGTACTGCAAATATTACTGTCAAGTTGTGTATCATAATAGATAAAATATTACGCATCAATTGGCTCTGTGAACCAGTTCCATGCGTGATTATTGCATGTACTCATAACTTACCACGCATATTTGAATCACGATAACAGTTTTCTAATTAAAAGATGATAAAATATATAGCATGTAAATATATAGTATGTACACGCATTATTTTCGAGTATTAATGTAAAATGTTATCGAAATACCGCAAAGACGAGTTGTATAACTATGGAATTACATTGAATTATTTTTTCTACTGACATCGATACCGATTTAGGAATTATGGCTACCTATAACAAATTTGTTTTCGGATTTTCCTTCAATTAAACTTATTATATACGATAATATTAGTAAAAAAAAACGTGCATACACGCATTATTTATTCGTATACTACCAATTATAAATCGTAATTTATCAGTAAAAAACATATAATGTATACGAATCGTGAACCATATTCAAGGATAAATTCCAATGGTTTTAGTTTGAAAATGTTTGTAAAAATACAATTAGAGTATACATTATGGATTGAGATTTTTTATCTAAATTTCAACAAAAATGAAACCGATGACTTAAACTTTATAAAATGAATCATTCGATCGACAACCGTTTGTTCGAGTTTCGAAAATAAAACATCTACATATATTTACAATGATTTACTTAGTGAAATATGTAAGAATAACGTGTTTGATAAGTGTTCGACCGAAAAAGTATCGTATGTTATTTTTTAGTAAAAAGTTAATAATACATTTATCAGGAAAATGACATTCTACGAGATGTTGAAAATTCTAACAAATCTCAACTTGTACAATTTATTTTTGTCCAATAAAACATAAATATTTATCAATACACTATATGAAAAAAGTAAAAGAGCATAAAACTGTTGTTAGACTTGCAATGAAAAAAATATATTTTTCATGGTTTTTTAATATATTAAAATCTAAAAAATCAACCTTGAAACACAATTTTCGATTACCTCGGTGCTTAAAAACATAAATTAATTGATATCATCGTCTAAAATCCCAAAACTGATGAAAATTTAGTGAAAAAAAAATTCTTTAATTATTGATTTATTTGTAAAATTATCACGTAATAGCAGAGTGTATACTATATTTTTAATATAGCTACGGGTTTTCAAACTTTTAAAAAATCTAATCCAGTTCTGTTTAGTTTTGAAAACTTAAATTAAATTGTTTTTGATCTTTGGTTGATTAATCGTATGATATCAATTCCGTACAGATTTCACATAAATGAGTTACGTGCGAGATTGGAACGGTTGTATAGTTACAAACCATATAAAAACATTTGACAATAATTATTTATTCGTTTTTATAATAAAACATACAATTTACATACTTACAACACGGATACGTAATATAATACTTAAAATTAAATTATAATGCTAATTAATTCACATTTTAAAAAAGCTGTAAGGAATCGGTTTAACGTTTCCCAAAAATATTTCGTTTCGCATGGGATTGCAATCATCACCACATAAAATATATTTGAAATTAGCTGGATGCATTACAGTAAACAATTTTTGATTCTTTAAATACTTTATCTGCTGTCTTAAATAAGACTAAACCAATAGCCATGTGCAGTATGCCAGTGTATTATCTAATTAAATTGGAAATAGAACTTGATAAGTAGTCAAAATTAATCAAAATCGATCAAGTCTCTTCTTCATCTACAGTTTTTCTAGAAACTTCAAAATATTAAAATTTTATCAAATTTATGCCATTCACATTTTCTTTCTGTATTTCAACAATTAAATAAACATAATTAATTTAATTATAATTCTATAATCATTTTTAATAATCAAAATTATATGCTTTTAATTTTGTTTATTTGTTTGCACTCGTGTGCGACAATTTTTAGAAAAATTATTCGAATCTTTTTGCAAACTCTGCGAATTGCATGGAAAATTTTATACAAAAAACATTTTTGTGCCTAAAGCTGATAAAGCTTTTCCTGCTTTCGCAATATTTATGGTGCACAGTGGGAAATAAATAATAATACATTCTCTGGTGTAATACATTCTGGCCATGATAACCAAAATATAAAAAACCAAAATATGGAATTATAAAAAAATAATAATAATTTAATAATAAAAATAAAATTAATTGATATGCTTAAAATTATTACACTTAAATTAAAAAAACAAACATGACGTATAATATCTTTAAAAAATATATGAACAAAATAAAAGTAGTGTATTTCTAATATTCGGTTCGTGGAACGGATTTCTACCCCACTCGGCTATCTTTTACACTCGCCGAAAAAGTAATCAAAAAGCTTCATCGTCTTAAACTTATAATTAACAATATTAAATAATATAATGATTTTCCTATATATATGGCGTTGATATTTTAAGTAAAATAGTGCTGGTTAGTGTTTGAAATATAATACGTTATGATAAATGAACGTTGTGTTCATCGTTTTCGTCACATCGACCGTCGCTCGTATTCGTAATAGCTGCCTTAAACTCAAACAATAATCGCATACTACACATCCGGACAGATAATGAACTACGGCACAGTGTTCGATTTATGGCGCTGCACGTTCCACAATCTCGTGCAGTCCGAGGTCCCATTGACAACTCCTCGTATTAACGCTTATACCGCACTACTCGACTTGACGGATTTCAGTTTTTTTTTTTCTTCTTTTCTTTCATTTTTATCATTAATCACAGCGTTACTATTTACAGGTTTCCTGGATTCGCAGACGTGACTACCGACTACTCACCGTCGGACTATCTACATACACGGAAGATTTGCGGTTCCAATCGCTTCACCACGTTCAGACCGGGGTAAGGATCTTTTTCCCTTCTTCTTTTTCTTCTTCTTCTTCTCGATTTTATTCTTATTCGCCAGGGAACTTTAGAAAACGTTTTTCTCCCTTGCAATATTGATTCGAAACGAACGACCACCCGTATAGTATGTCACCTTGCACGGCGAAAATAAGCCCACCCTCTGCAAACGGTCTCGGTAATGATTTATCCACGTTGTGTATATACAGTTTATACCACGGTTTAAGCACCTATTCACAGATACAGTTAATTGGTTGTTGTACGATAATAATGATATCGTGACGTTCCAGCCGTGTGTGCACTGTCACTGTGTCAAAGTAATATCATTGTAATAATTTCGTTAATACCATAAACACCATGTAGTTTTATTAGTACTACTAAAATTGTACTCGCAAGAGTGCACGACGAATTACGCTGTGTCCTAGGTGAACGGAATTTCGGATTTCCGCGATATTCCACGCCAACGAGTGAGCGAATGTCCTGGTTGCACGCGATCGGAAAACGCGTTGTGTTATCATCTTTTATTTTCAATATTCAATTGTAGATTTTTGTACAAGTATCTTGTATTATACTATATTATATTATATATTCTTAATAATTATTAAGATAACTTACTTGGCATTTCAACCTTTGAGGACACAGTTTCCAACGCTTTATCTACTAAAAGCCTATTACGATAATTTAAAATTATTCGTATAGGTATTTTTTAAACTTCTGATATCAATATGTATACTATTGAATCAATATTATTAAATAAATTATAAATTTAAATAATTTAACCAGTAACATAGGTACATAACCAGATTAAACTCCAGCGTTACACTCCACAGAAAATAGTGCTAGTCGTTAGCGTAAAAAACAAACGAATTATCGGCCGCCTATTTTCTATAATAATAGAACATCGCTTAAATAAAATCCATTTTGAATTTTATCACGTTGACCGCCCGCCCGCCCGGTCGCGAAATTGCGTTCATCTAGTACACAGCGTTAAACATCTGATACGCATGCCATTACGTCATAGCTGTTATCCCGGGTGGTCGGATGAAATAGAATCGATCCTTTTTTTTTTCAGCCAATATTTCTACGACCTATTTATCGTATAAATAATTATGACATACATTACAACGCGTGTGTATAGGAACTGTTTGCGTACAGTTTGCAATCGGTTCTAAAAGTTACTTCAGTTGTATTTTATAATAAATGACTATTGTATGTAAAAAGCAAACATTTATTGTTCGAGCAATCATACGGAGTACATTTTTCGTAATTTAATAACATTAAGATTGCGTATAAATGATGTAGATACGTAGAACAATTCTTCTCCCTTCACCGTGTTTAAACTAATTAAGGTAATAATAATGAGTTCGTTTTAAAAATGAATGTCAACATGATATTTTTACAAAATATTCTTTGTACACATAATGTACAAGGGTGAGAAAACATATTATGGTAAATTATGATAACTGACCGTGATGTATCGTATTTTATAATATCCATAACAGTTTTATAATGGCAATGGTGTTGATTTGCCAAATCATTTACGCACGAATACCTTCAAACCAAACAAACTATAAAACCGACGAACACAGCCAAGAAACAAAATTTATCCGAGAATAAACAATTCAGTATCGGCGTGGAACATCATTGTCGTTGTAATCATATGTTACGACGGATTATGTTAGGCTATATAGTAGCATTATAAAATTGTATAATAATGGAATTACACATGAACATGTCTTTGTGTAGGAATATAGTGGTATTACACGATATGGGTTTGATAGCATTTGGGAAGGGATAACGTTTTAACTGGCGACAGTTTTCCAATGAATAATGATAACAATTTATTACTCTTTGTCGTGCAAAGATAAATTTTTCAATTTTTGTTCTTTTAGGTTTTAAATGTACAGTAAGTGCTTTTCAATAAAGACTAACTAAAAATGTGTGTTTTTTTTTTTTTTTTTTTTTTTTTTTTATTATTATTATTATTTATATTTTAGTTACGTCGAATACAATAACAATTGGTCTGTATTATTGGTTTAACAATAACATAGTGAACCATTTATATCAATCACATTAGCCTTGCATAGTAATATTATTATCTTTACCATTACTGACGATGGTTATATTATTTTAAATATAATGTTAAATAGCTAAAAAATGTTAACGAAAAGGATAACAATGTGTATTTTTCAAATAGAATATAATGTAGTGTTCCATTTGTAGAAAAATAAATTAATGAAACTATCTAGTATCGTATATTATATATATTTCTTCTGTCCATATGTATGTCACTGAACTTCTACTAAATGGCTGTACTGATTTTTATAAAATGTTGTGTGTGCAATAATGTTAATTCCAGAATAAATTAAATTCATGATTTGATCTGATAGAAAATCTTTTTTCAATGGCAATAGAAATACATATATATGTTGCAGTTAAAAATCAAAATTCGTCAAAAGTAGTTTTAACTAGTGAATGCTAGTTTTTACAAATCAATTTCGTCATAACTGATATTGACTAAAAACAGTTTCCATGGTAAATTAATTCAAGCATACAGATTTAATATAAGAATATAACGTTGTTCTCACTTATGTTCTCAAACGAATTAGTAGCGATACTGAAAATACATTCCATGATTGTGTCATGGAAAATAAACGTCACATGCATACCTTAAAAACTGTACCATTAAAGTATAGCATATGAATAAAAGATTTTTCTAATATAAACATCTCTAATTGAATATTCATAAATTAATCATTGAATTTTATACAAGTACTAAAAAGTTATTTAAGTGCTAAAAAAATGATCAATGCCACTAAATCTATCCGCTAATTTTATCTTGATCGATTTTCATGTTTCTGTATTTTTACATACCGTACCCCTAAGTGGTTAGCCTAACAATCTCTGAGAATCGCGTAACTTGTATTTGTGTACTTATTTTATCCTACAACCTTTCAGTAATTCCAATCGTACAACTGGTATTTATGTATATTAATTATATAAAGAGTTATTCAAAACTCTTAATACTTTACTATATGTGATATTTGTTCCCCCCGTACTAAGATACGCGTAAGGACCTACATATATGTATGTCCGTAACAATACGGACACGGCTTAATTATCATCATAAAAACCGTGGTACAATATATTTTTTTCCTTAGTTACGTTTATTAATATCGACATTATATTATTACGAAAAACTATTATCCTAAAAAATGTAAAATATTATCTACTTATAACCGCATTGACAAATATTATTATTATTATACATGTATATGTATGCCACTGAAAATTGATAAAAGTTATTAACAATCTAATTTATTTGATATTTTCATGCAACCTTGTTAAAAATGTTGTTTACCAATAAGTTTATTTAGTTAAACTGCTCAAACAATTACGTATGTCAATTTCTTATTCAATTTTAGGTATAATATAAATCGTTGTTTTATATTATTTTTTTGTTCAAGAAAATTGTAAAAAATAAAATGTACCCAAAAAAATTAATTTTTTTTTACTGTCGATTGTTTTGGTAACGAATCAAAATCGCGAAATAATAAAAAAGTATATGATACGTTCAAAAATATAATGGTTAACAAATTTAATTAAAATTTAATTTATTTCTAAATAATTTATAAACAGACGTAAAAAGTAAGAACTTGGATAATGTCACGTCGATAGTTTTGATTACGAATTGTCTAAGTAAATGTTGATTAATGCTGTTTTTCTCCACACTTTGGCAGTAACCATAATAAATTTCGGTTATAATTATTTCGAAATTAGAATAACTAAAATTTAACTTGTATAATAGCGCCTAAATACAAATTTAAGTTAATTTAATTTAATTAGATTTATTAATATTTAACAATGAATAATAGTTTGGAAATAATGTATCAATGGTCTCGAATGGGTAACACCGAGTATTTTTAATCGATCTAGACTTTAAGGAAGCCTGTTTTAAATTTTTCTAGACTGGGACCTGAAGCAAAATAATCCCATTGCTTCCCTTGCGACAGGCCTGATCTTATAATAGTAAAATGAAATAAAATGGTGCATTTATTGAGAAAAAAAGGATTAGGTGTCTTGATAAGCAGCCGCCGTATAATGCATACAATACTAGCAGTCCATTATTCTCAGAACGAGTACTAGACGATAGGACGTGTTTGGCAACCAAATACTTTTTAAAGGACACATGCCTATAAAGTAGAAAAGTCAATTTTCCCATTTAGAATGTAACTTGAACGTTTTTTTTATCCGCCTTATGTCTGCAATCAGCAAGATAGTGAACTGAATCGTAATGCAATACACTATAGGCACTTTAGGATCCATAACTGCGGTTATAGCAAATTTTAACAAATTTACCTTGCCATTTGATATTCTTCTGTCATCTTAACCATTAAACGCGAATCAAATAATAATATAATAAAGTATATACTTTAATATAGTAAACATTTTTTATACATTCGTGAAAATAAATAAATAAAATATTATGTTGATTAATTGTTTTACAATATTGTATTGATAAACGCCTTTTTCTCCTTCTGCAGATTTTATATTACACGCGAGAAATAGACCTTAAAAATTTAACCTTTGCCTACTTCTTTCATTCATCTAATTTCTATTATATTTCATTGCATCGATCCTTAAACTCAGGTTTATAGTAATGGGTGAATTCAATTTTTTTTTTTCGTGCCTACTATTTTTATTGAAGTGAAATATTCATCTATTTTTGTTTCAAAGTAAAACTACTTACCGTAAAATTTATCTTTTCGAGTTTCGAGTCTGTTTAAAATTCATAAAAAACTATTCAAAGTTTTTCTAGAATATTATAGCTTTTAAATTTCTTTTGTAATGATTTTCCGATCATTTTACACAGCTATAAATATATACCAGTTTATTTATTTCTTGGTAAAAGATTTTGTACATGCGAATTTCACTGAAAATAAGTACATTTATTTTCCCTATTTAAGTTAAGGTACACCATATGGTCAAAATTCTTATGG